GCATAGCTCGTTATCACAGTGTACATATTTGTTTACCAATACCGATAACGATAACTAACAACATGTTATTTAACAATATATATGTCTCCGAAGAATCTTCCGACTCACCGGATTGTTGTGCACCATTCCAGAGGAATTCTACAGCAGCCTTGTGCGATCTCAAGGCAAGAAGGAACAAACAGTCAAGTTATGTAACGAAAAAGAGACATAAATGTTTGTTAATGACAATCACCTGGCTTGGTACATCGGATTCAAGAGTTCAACGTTAAAGCTGGGGACCTGCAGAGTTTCAAGAGAAGTCTTAGTTTTCTAATTCTAAAAAAAAACTTGATAGCTTACAGTCACAGGAAACAAGTTCCTGGGAAGATCATACCAAAGCAACAGCAAGGTTTCCAGGGGACAATGCCACACCAAGGCATGACAGGAAATCATCAGGAAGCTGCATAAATGTTTGTAAAGATAAACCAGAGGAAGAGAGAAACAAAGAGACAAGATTACAAACATCACATATTGCAACTTTCCTGTGTGATCACCTGAAAGACGATGATGATGAGTGAAAGATCATCTTATCACTTCACACCACTGGTAATGTTTCGTGTCTTTATACATAACTTGATCAAATTAGCTAAACCCGTAAGCACAAAAAATGTCTTCTTTACTGTGTTTTAAAGGTGAAAACACACAATCTTTTGGAATTTCACATTATTGATATAACTCATCTTGATCATTTCAACCCAATTAAGCCCACGAAAGAAACAGATTAGGTTGAAACTAATTTCTACATGTTTCCGTGAAGATATGAATACTCTGTTTTGTCTTTCTCGTTTCCGTCATTGTTATGAATATAGACAATGGTCTCATTAATCTGGGGTTTTGGTCGCATGAATATAGACTAGTTCTTGGCTTAAACTTAAAAAGTTTTTTTTTTTTTTTGAAAATTTGATGATTAAACTTTGATCAAATATTTCGTATGGCACATTGTGGACTAAAACGTTTGGTAATAGTTGAATTTTATTCTTTAATGAGCAGGAATCATGCATCACAATAATCCTCCTCCTCTTTATGAACCGTACCAACTCCCTCAAATAGCTAATATAGGAGCTGTTACGTGCAAACACATTTCCTGCTTTTTTTTTTTGTGCTTATTCCCTTCAAAGCAACGAGCATACGTTTGCTCTCGCTTATTTGGGAAGGGTTTATTGTTGTTCTGTTGAAAGTTTTAGAGTACAATATGGATATCATTAAATATAAAATTATTAAAATTTGAGTAAAAAAAAAAGAGTGTTTTTTGTTGAAATAATAGGGTATATTAAAATATAAAATTAATAAAATTTGAGTAAAGAGAAGAGATAGTGAGTATTTTTGGAGAGAGAGTATCAAATAGTTGATATAGTTGATATTTTTCAAGAGAAAAAAATGTGTTTTTAATAATTTTATATTTTAAAAAAGTATAAAATTAATAAAAGTTGAGTAAAATGATGAAAGAAAATGTATAAAGTTAAGTAAAACGAATAGAAAGTGTGTTTTTAATAATTTTATATTTAATGATATCCACATTGTATCATGGATAATGATGGTCTTCGAGCAGCCTTTGGTGGTGCAGTGACCCTACAAGATTTTATGTGGATACAGTGGTAAGATCATTTTTTTTTTGTCATCTGGAATTTTATTAAAAACAAATACAATACATTGTCGAATAGATTATAAGATATGATACAGGACAGAGTACGAGATAGAATACAAAATAGAATACAAGGCATACCGATCTGATTTTAACCTGAAACTAGCTAAATGCCAAAACCTACACACAATCTGCAACCGATGTAGCCAAGACCAAGATCAAACTCGAACCACAAATTCATCCTATAGTGAATAAGTTCTACCTATCCAAGCTTAAAGACCTAGGATTCTAACTCCGGCAAGAAAGTAGCACACACAAGTACCATGAATGAGCTTCCAGAGACGGCGAAGTCAAAATCGACCGTTAAAACGCCTCGATTAGAACCCAAATGAAAGACCAGATCCCGAACTGATCTGATGAGTAGTGACAAGGAGCGAAACATAAACTAGCCGGATGGAGCTGAGAGCAGCGAACTAAAATCAGCGACTGAACCCAAGGCTGGCTACAAACGAATGAGATCAGCAAGAAATGACAATAAGAACTAAAAACAAACTCAAACCAGATCCTATCTAGACGAAACCCAAACATAACTAATACAAAACCGAAAAGACCAAATACGGGACCAACAAGAGAGGCTGAAACCGATGCACCGAGCCGAAGACGAAGCCCACAAAGCTTACAAAAATCAGAGAGATTCACTCTTCTAAGACCGATAAACCGAACCACTTAAATCAAACACAAAACACTAAATTCCAGAACCACTAAACGAGAGCCTCCGATCCAGAAAAGAGTCGATCGGTGAGACAAGAGATCACCCACACCAGCAAGAAGAGCATAACCTAAATCTGAAACGTGAAATCTGAAACGCAAGAACAACTCTCGCGTCCATAAGGCACGTGAACCAACGCTTGATATGTTCAACAAAGTCTTCGCCACAAGCCACCGTCACATGCCCTGACCACACCAGATCCACCACCGAAGCCTCCATCACCGATCTAGCAAACCAAGCCCCCGAACCTAAAACCCATTTTCAAGACAACGGAGCAACACCAAAATGAAAAAGAAAAAGAGAGGAGACCCACACCGGTGCTAATGGAACCACGGGCGCAGGTCCAGTCGGAGAGCGAAGGAAAAAAAGCTGTGGAGAAGAAATCGCCTTCTCTCTCGCCTGTTTTGTGTCGGCAGAGGAAAAAGAGAGTCCCGGTAAGATC